TAATCAGATATAAATAAACAGATTTTCATATCATGGCTCACAGATCTTCATATCACGGCTCACCTTCAGTCATTAATAAATATTCTTACTTTATTTTGAAAAGTTGACACATCTTCATATTCATTAACACTAATGAAGTAAAAATGTGGCTCCATCACTATATTACTTTTTATGTAAATAATAGTTTATGTTGTTAGACTTCTAATGCATTGATATATTTTCTATGTACCATATTTATATGAGATATATAGATATTTTGAGGCACATGTCATAATAATATGGCATGTAGCACATTTTTCTTATTGAGTTTCTTTGACCTCATAACTCATAAATGGGCCAGTATAACCACAATGCATTTGAAGGAGAGAGAACTCTTTTAAATCATGAAGAAAAACATTTCTTAATCCACCATTTGTTTCAAAACAGAACTGCTTTTATTCATGCAGTTAGTGGCCCTTCAAGAGAAAAAATTCGAGTAAGGAAAGAAGGTGATACCTAAAGTTTCGGAGAAACTAAAGCTTATTTAAAACTTTATAAGTGATACCCATGCCTACTTACATAGCTCAAAATCTCAAGACTGTTTTGACCTCAAGTTTAGATAATTTTTCATATAAAATAAAGATCTTAATCTTTGCATTATTGAGTTTTTGTATTATTTAAAATTGAACACTTTGTTATATTTTTAATCTCATCAGCAATTTGAAAAAAAGAAACAAATGTGTTTTTTTTTAAATAATTGCTGTTATGGGAGAATATTAATTGAGTGTGCATTAGGTACATTTGACCATAGGAAGTAGTGGACATCCCATTGGATGGAGACTGAGTGAGTAGGATAGAAAACCATCACAGAATATGTTTGAATATTAACTCTATTTATAAAGAAAATATGTTGACTTTCTCTAGATTAGCACTATCCAATAGAACTTTCTGAGACAATTGAAATGTTTTGCATCCACACTATCCAATACAGTAGCCACTGAGCACTATGACTATTAGCACTTAAAACTTGGCTAATACAATTGAGGGACTAAATTTTTAATTGCATTTTATTTTAA